TCTTCTGGGTTTGGTTCTTCCTGATTCTCAGATGACGAATAAATAAATAAATCTTTAAAAGATATTAGTATGTCAATGAAAGAGAATATCTTATGAAAATTGTGTTCAGTTGATTCTGCAAGAGAGATTTGAGATGTGTAAATTGTTTACTAAGATTGTAAACAACATTGGAATGATTAAGATGTTTGAGACTCATTTTATTGATAGATTTAATTTTGGGGGACTTAGTAAGATAATTCAATAATTTAGGAAACATTTGAAGTGCTAAAATTAAATTATGTGGGATTTATTGACACAGTTTAAAATGTTTAAGATCATTTCATTAACTAAGTTCAGACATGGAACCAAACATTAATCAAAAGGCTTCCTTGACAGTGAGTGTTAAAATTTACTAGCACATAAGTAAATTTTATAATCAAGATTTATAACCATGTAACCGAGTGGTTACTGCAATGGATGCTAATCCTTTGTGCTCAAGTGGGTTCAAATCCCACTCTTGTCGATCTTGCCTCCCTGTCTTCATAAGATTTACAGACATATAGTATGAGGTTAAAAGTTTAAGGAAAACTAGATGTTTTAATTTATAGTTTAATAAACTCGGTATTAATTTTTACAGCTAAAGGTGAAAAAATTTTCTGTATATTAAAAAAAAAAACCTTTCAAAGCAGCTCTCCTGTCGGCTTTTGACTATGCAGGTGTTTCTTTTCACAAATCTTATTCTTTTGCAAATCAGGAGCTCTCCTGCCCACCTATGACTAAGCAGGTGCCTCTCTTTTTCTCCTTTTCCTAATAAACTGTCATTTTAAAATGTAAAAAAAAAAAAAACCTCCAAAGACACTAAAAATCTCCTCATCCACCCACATTTGCTGACAATTGGATCAGCAAAATGCTGGTCTTCCATTCTGCGACTCCTCTTTCTAGTTCTACCGCAGGTAAAACTAATCAATCCCAGCACAATTTCTGTGCAGATAGAGAAAGTTGCCTGAACACTGCATCTCGAACAGCACGTCCCATTACCAGGAGCTGGCAGGGAAACAGAACCAAGCTGTCATCTCTTTATTCACTCTTGCACGCATGCAAACACTCATCCATCAACCAGCAACGTTGAGTGTTTCCACTGCTTCGCTGTGCTGAGCGCTCACCGTCTCCAGAGCCTCACAGACAGCCCTGGTGCTAGGGAAGGCAGGGATTAGCACTCCCTTGGAGAGGGAGGGCACCTGCTTTGATAAGGGCTGGGGTCCAAAAGCTGCTTCTCCTATATCCAAGGTTACTCCCCTTCCAACATGGATGACCCAGTGCAAGGTACCTTCTCCCATCTGTAGAATCGATCAGCTTTTATGATCATGTCCACCAGGCTGACATGGTTGCTGCGGGCGGCCACTGCCAGGGCGGTTTTTCCTTGCTGTAAGAGAAGGTTAGCCAGAGTTCCTACAAACCATGGAACAGAAGACAGCCACATCACAGCCTTAGACTAGAATTGGGGTGGGCCAAGGGCTGAAGGACCTTGGAGGAGGCAGGATAAAGGCTTCCTGGAAGAGGCTGCATTTGAACTGGCTTGTAAAGAATAGGAGGGTTTGAACACTTTAAGAGTACGAGGCATTTGGAGCAGGCTCTCTGGCAAAGAGAGAGCCATGGAAGTTCAAAAGAGAGGTTGATTGTACCTTATCTTTCAGGCTTAAGTTAACTCCAGCGACCAGGAGTATCTCTGCTATGTCCGGCCAGGCATGTTCTGCAGCAAGATGGAGAGGCGTCTGCTGCCTCTGAAGAAGAAGCCAAGGAGCTAGGTGAGCAGAAAAGCTTGTAAAGGGGGCCCATGGCTCAAAGCCAGGACAGGCCAAGGAAGGCACATTCCCAACTGGGATCTAAAGTTTCTCTAGGAAGTTATGGGGATGATTGTGGGCATGGGATTTAAAAGGACCCTTTCTGATCACAACTTGAGACCTCAGTGATCTCTGGTTACACAAGACTGCTCCAGTTACTCCTGCCCTGGGAAACTTCCCTAAGGAGAAACAAAATCAATGGCAAGATTGAGCATAGGAAGTTAACTGTGTTTAATAATAAACATAATACTCAGCAGAGAAAACTTGTAAAAACATAAAAGCAGCAAGAGAAACAACAAAAACCACTAATTAGGCCATCTAAGTCAGTTTCCATAATGATTAGCGTATATATCTAGATCTTTCTTTAATGCACAATGTATCTCGATTGTTGGCTTTAGATATTCTAGATCTCCCTATATATTTCTGTGTGTCTATTTTTCTACCTAACATAGTACTTTCCATATATTGTGAATGCTGATAAACCCATTTTTAATTAGCTCCATAATATTCTCGGTACTGTCATTTACCTAATCACTTCTTTGTTATTTTCTGGGCCACTTTCAAACTGAGAACTGATAGACAGTGTGCAGTGAATATCTTTGTGTATGAGTTTCTGTAGATTTCTTCAGGTTCAGTTCTCAGATCTGCAAAGACTAATCATTTTAAAGGCATCTGCTATGTTCTGCCAGACTTCTTTCCAGCACTTGTGTCTGTGGATGGGCCAGCACTGAATACCACCTGGTGGGGGATGGTTGTGGGGACAGGGTTTACAAGGACCCCTGTCTGATCACAACTTGAGACCTCGGAGGTCTCTGGTTACACAAGATGAAGTAAACAAGATGTTTACTTCAGTGTTATATATACCACAACAAACACTTGGAAATGACCCAAATGTTCAAAATAGGGGCATGGTTAATACAATGAAAACTACCTTCCACTGATATTCAAAAAGCCTTTGACAAACAAACAAAAATGTGCCGCTGGTTCTAATAGGGTGCCCAGAGGACTCCAGCAGACCCCAGGGGTTTCTGCAACCACTTACATTGTCAGTGGCATCCAGGTCACTGCCAGCATCGATGAGGAGCTCCACCAGGACAGGGAAGTTGTGCCTCACTGCCAGGTGCATAGGAGAGGCGCCCTGCTGAAGGGAGATGCTCACGTCAGTCACTGGAGGGTCTTGGGACTGTCCAGGTGCCAGCCGGTGCTGGTGGGAGGGGAGGGAGAGGTAGAAAGAGGTCTTCTGGGTTTGGTTCTTCCTGATTCTCAGATGACAGAGGTGGCCTGCAGCATTTACAACACCAAACCTGAAACCTTGGAGACCCAAACTGATGTTCAAGGTAGGCAGGGCCTGGAGAGTCAAGTTTGCCAGGAATTTATTGTGTGATTTCAGGGAAGGTATTTCCCTTCTCTGCTACTCTTCATCTGCAAGTGGTTTACTAAAATCCCTTCCAGCAACACCACTCTCCTGTTCTCTGATCTCTTATTTCATCCACACATGAATTTAGGAAGGATATAGGGATGGCATTCTTAATGATACTTTCATCTTACAAACGGAAAAACGGAGGTTTGGAAAACTTAAATGACTTGCTTAAGGACACATAGCTAAATCCTGAACACTCAGTAGGAGCCTGGTGACTAAGTAATAAATGAATGAATGAGAGAGCCAGCCAGAACCAGAACAGAGAGGACCATGCCCAGTGGCCTCTGGTGAGCCCTGACTATATGACAAAGTTGATATTGCCACAGCACCCCATGTAGGTGACATCATGACACACATACAGTGCAATAGTACAATGCTAAAGTCAAACTGACATATTGACAAAAACACATTTGAGAATAAAAAGGTTGCCAAAACACACACACATAAAGAATAACTGGGGCAAAAAAGAAAAGATGTACCAATATTGGAAAAGAAGACTGTTATCATCATTTGGGGGTATAATATATACCATACTGATATTATATTACTTATATATTCATATATATTATATATAGAAGATGTAATATTGACATATAAATTGTACATTATATAGATTTATAATACATATATATATAATATTTTTAATTCCACATGTAGAATAAATTCCTAGAAAAGAAACATGTATCTGCACTTAGGGAACAAAGGGCACATGCATTTGCATTTTTATACACATTGCCAAATTGCTATCTGTGAGAATAGTGCCAGTTTCCCTACATCTTTATCAACATAGTGGCAAGACTTATGTATTTGTGCCAGGCTGCCGAGTGGCTAATTGTATCTCCAAGTAGTATTTGTATTTCTCTCTCTCTCTTTTTTTAAGATTTATTTATTTGTGCTTACAGAACAGGGGTACAGGCCAGAGGGGCCGGGGGTGAGAGGACTCATCAGAGACAGAGTGGGGAGCAGAGCAGGCGGATGTACTGAAATACACTGCTGAGGGGAGCAGAGTGTAAGACAGGAGAGGTCCCAGCACCATATGTGGGTCAGCTCCCTGGCCAGGGTGGAGCTCAGGCCACAGCTGTGACAGCTTGCTGATGCTGAGACTGAACTCCTGTGCCACCAGGGAGGCCACTGTATTTCCCTTGAGTCTCTATTCCATTTTCTATCAAATGTCTGCCCTTTCGGTATTTTTCTCTGTGTTGTGTTTAATTTTATCATGATTTGTAGGAACTCTTTATATATTAGATTTTGTCCTTTATCCTTGAATCTAGTTTATCATTTGTCTTTGAATTCATCTATTTTGCTAGATAAAATGTCTTTTATTTTTTATATAGTCAAATTTATTGATGATGGTATGTGGGTTTAGGCCACCCTCCTCTGCCTCACTTTTCTCTTTCAGGGTGTTCCTGATAATTTTGAACTTCAGTTGTTTAAGAAAAAGAAAGATAGACAAAAAAAAAAAATTGTTGCTATATGTGGGACTCATGCCTTGCAGTAATCTGGGAGGAAATACAAGTTGGATTTCTAATTCTGTTCCACTGAAACTTACCTGATTCTCCTACTTGCTCCAAGTTGTTCGAGCAATCTGGTCCTGGCCCCCACCCCCACCCTACTGTGCTTCATCAATGAGGTCATGGAAAACTGTGCAGTGGGGACCCCTTCATTACAGGCCTGCACACTTACCTGGTCAGCCACATTGGTGCGGCCTCCTGCATGGATTAGGGCCCGGGCCACATCCTCTGAACCACCGAGGGCTGCATAGTGGAGGCAGCTCTGCTTCTTCTGAAGGGAAATAGGTGTTACTGAAATGGCCTAAGGACCCTCATAAAGGGGTTTGCAAAGCACTTTGGGATGGGTTGTTCCAACTCCCCCTGGTAACCCCACGCCTCAGTCCCATCCACCAGCCCCACCCCTGGACTATCACGCCCATTAAATCTGAAGCTGGAGGAACCAGATACTTGCCCAGGCCTGGCCACTAGTAAAAGGAGCTCAGAATGACCTCAGCCTTTTCCTGGTCTCCCGTCACAAACTCCGGAACACAGACCAAAACCATCACAGTTCCTCTGATGGTAAAGCCACAAAGAGTACAGGCTGAGGAGATAGTTTTTTCTTTTTTAAAGATTTATTTATTTATGCTGGCCCTCCCCGGTGGCGCAATGGGTTAGGACACAGCACTGCAAGCTAGCCACAGCTGCTTCAGTGCGAGTTCGATCCCTGCCCCTGAAGGTGACCACATGGCATGGCAGACCTCTCCTGACCTGCCCACTGCTCCCCTCAGCAGTATACTTTGTCAATCTGCCTGTTCTGCTCCCCAATCTGTCTCTGGTGAATCCGCTCACCCCCCATGTCTCTGGCCTATACCCCAGTTCTGTATGCATAAATAAATAAATCATTTTTTAAAAGATTTATTTATTTATACAGAACTGGGGTATAAGCCAGATGTGCAGGGGTGCTGAGAGGGTTCACTAGAGACAGAGTGGGAAGCAAAACAGGCAGATTGACAAAGTACACTGCTGAGGGCAAGACAGGAGAGGTCTACTGTGCCATGTGGGTCACCCCCCTGGCTGGGGATCGAACTTGTGCTACAGTGGCCACTGATAGCTTCATGGTACTGCACTTTAACCTGTTGTACCAACAAGGAGGGCCCAAAGGAGATAGTTTTCAAAGAGGGGGACAGATGAGATTTGCCAGTGTAGGCCAAAGCCCATCCGCAGGCACTGCTCACAGAGAACTGGTCTGGGTGTGCCCAGGAGAAGGGGACCCGAGAGCAAGCCCATGCCATGGAAGGACACTGGGCACCCTGGGAGGCTCTTTCCTCGCCAGGCCTTGCTGTCACCCTCGGCCTGGGGTACAGCCCCCAAACCTTCCAGGAATCAGCAAATGAAGTGTTTTGTTGCTCTAAGGCATACTCTTATTTAAGAGAGCTTAATGGTGGTACTGTTAGATTTATATATGTCATCTTGCTGTTCATTTTCTGTCTACAGTTTCTCCTTGACTGCCTTCTTTTGTGTTCAATACTTTTAGCAAGCCATTTTAATTCATTACCTTTTAAACTACATTTTAAAGATTTTTTTGTTATATTACCAAAATCTGGAATAGAAGATACCAGACCCTGAAACCATCCAACCTGCCAAGATTATTTGTCACTATCTGAAAATAAAAAGTAAAACAAACTGCTTAAAGAAAGGTCTTGAGCCCCATTCCCAGGACACAGAAATTTCATCAGCCAAACAAGGAGCACAATGGTAAGGGAGAAAGGGGCCTGTCCGAGTCCCATGCAGCCTCAGCTCTGAGCACTGGTGTGGCCCCTCCACACAGGAGAGGGTGGCCGACTGTGGGGGCAAACCCTCCAGGCCCTGAGTTCTGGCATCAGAGGAATAGAGTCAGTTTTGCTTCTTACCAGCTGTGACTTGGGAAACTCACCAAACCTCTCTAAATGACAATTTCCTCATGTGTAAAATAGGAGGTCGTATTTCTCTGAAGTAATAACTCTGAAGGGGTTTGTGAACTATTAAGTACCCAATAATATAACGCACTAATAAGTACTGATCTCCTATTATGTTCTGGCATTTATACTAAGTATTTAATCCTCACAGCAATGTAAAAAAGTAGGTATACATCATTCCCATTTCAAAGTTGGGAAAAAGGCTCAGAGAGGTTAAGCAACTTGTCCATGGTCACAGAGCTTAGCAGAGGGAAAGACCTACATATGGACCCACTGCCTCACAGCCTCAGTTCACAAGACATTCAGAAGTTACTGTGACTGTTGCAATGTGGCAACAGCACAAGGACAGTTGTCAAATATGGGGGTGCCTGGCTACCTGGGTGAGGGCATTCACGCTGCTCCCAGCCCTGAGGAGAAGCCGCACACAGTCAAGGTGGGTCTCTTCAGCAGCCGCGTGCAGGGCAGTCAGGCCTTCCTGAAACACATCGGGACAGGTACAAGGATTTAGGGAGGCTGAAGCGAGACCCCAGGTGAGAAGACATCCCTCGTGCCATCGCTGCAGGGCTCTCTGAGCTCTCCAGGCTGGCTGCAAGGACCGTGAACTTGGATGTGTGTGGTTCCCTGAATCACTTTGTATGGCGCATGGCACAGTCACTCCATCCTGCACACCCTCTGCTCACATTCTCCTGCCCCTCCAAGACCCCTCACCGCTGCCCTCTATGTATTCCCTCCTGCTCCAGAAAGTCATCCTTGACCATCCTGGGCACCCTTCTTTGAATATACGCCACGTATGTGACTTCCTGTGTGTGACTTCTTGGCAATCCATCATGCCAGAGTCCCGCTAAGCCTGGAGTTTTGCGCTGCTGCTTATGTTTTCCTGGGGGACTGTTAGTCCAGGAACATGTCTCAGCTTCCTGGCTTCAGGGCCTCTAGCAGGAGAAATCAGGCACAGAGAAATCCTGCTACTCATCTCTGTATCCTTCAGGTATCGACTCACTGCGTTCCGTTCCTCCAGCTCCAGCCCGATGTCCACAAGTCGCTGTAGCACAGCCAGGTGGCCCCGGCTGGCAGCTAGATGTAGGGCTGTGTTCCCCTCCTGCGGGGAGAAGGGCTTCCTGGAGGCTGGCAGAGTCGCTGACCCTCACAGAGACCGGGAGCCCACGGGAACCAGCCCCCATTTTGGACATGGAAGCTGAAGTCCAGAGAGGAAGCAACACACCCAGTGTCACAGAGTGATCTGTGACAAGCTGCAGCTCTGACAGCTGAACCAGGGCCACCCGGACCCTGAGAAGGTGCCAGAAACCGCAAGTGCTGGTCTCTCTTACAATCAAAGGGGGACACAGCAAACAAACAACAAACCAAAATTTCTACTGCCCAATGCCAGTCCCCGCTCAGGGCCCCACCCCAGATCCAACCCCTTTACTGCTCAAGGCTGAGGATCCAGGGACTCATTGCTCCCCTGGGCTCCCTTGTTTCCAAGCTGCTATGTACTAAATATTTAATCCCATTGCTGGCCTCCTTCATCTTTGTTCCAAGTGTTCGCTTCTCACTGAACAGGGTGGTCCACCCTGACCATGTTACTTCAAACTGAAACGATTCTCTGTACTCCTTGCCTTCTTAAATTGCTAGGCTTTATTTTTCTTTCTGTCTTTCCTTCCCTAGCACCCATCACCTAACACACTCTATAACCTGCTTGTCTACTATGCTTATTGCTTATCATCTGACTCCTCTCAGAGACCATAACACCACAAGGCAGGAATAGCTCTTTGGTCTCTTTGGTTCTTTGAAGTTTCCCCAGGAGCCTAGAATGGGGCCCAGGGATGAGCCAGACACTCAATGAAATTTGCTCAGTGAGCCAGTGAAGTGATGGAAGCGTGAAGTTTCTGGGACCATAGAGACATGAAGGAAGTGTGTGAGCTGTGGGGGGCCAATATGTGCCCTCCCCACTAGCAGGGCTATACAGATAGGGTAGGCTTTCTTCTTCCTTCTGGCCTATAAATATCCATATCCTGCCTCTGAAGCAGCAGATGGCAGAGATCCCAATCTGGGCACTCAGGCTCTGCCTGGGCAGGGAAGGGGCTCAGGGCAGGAGAGCTGGGCAGAATGCCTCTTCTCTCCCTCCCCCCATCTCCGGGCACTCCAGACTCTCTACCTCTGGATGCCCTGCAGCGTCTTGCCATTCCCAGTGGAATTAATTGCTCTGGACTCTCAAATCCTCCCCACCGTTGTAGCACCTCTGGTTTCACATACATCGTCACTGGTTCTGACAGTTCTGCCACCTTAGCAGACGGGGAGTGAGGGGACAAGGGGCAGGAGTCATGGCACCTTCAGTGGTCTAGTCCAGAGCCTCAAAAAGCTAGCTGTGCCCCATCTCATGTGCAACTCAAATAAAAACACTCTGTCTGAAAATACAGAACTCAACAAAGCACACACAATTTAAAAGCATCTTTCTAGAATTTCTGACTGCAAGATTCTGGGAAAGAGCATCAAAGCTGGACAATTCTTAGAGCTTCTGATCCCCTGGGATCAGGTCTCTCTTTCTCAGGAGACCTCCTGATTACAATCATTTCTGCTTCCTGAGCATTGTGTCCTGGCAGGAACCTTTACCCCTCTGGCCTCCCACTGCCTGATTCAGCACAACCTGCTCAGCACAATGACAGTATGCAGTGAATCAGCCTGATTCTCAGGACCCAATTCAGCCTTTACACACTGAAAGGTTAAGTATGGACAAATTCAGCACAGACTTCAAGGGCTCAGTGCCCCAGGAGGGCGCCTGGAGAGAGGGAGGAGAGAGGTTAGGCATCAGATGCAAGAGGTTCCAAACCCAGCTTGACCTTTGTCTTGCTGTGTGACCTCGGCCAACACACGCCCCTCTCTGAGCCTGTTTCTGAACATGTAAAATGAAGGCTAAACTGAACCTTGATGAAGACATCTTCCAGTTCTAAGACCCCGTGGTGCATTTATCTGTCTGCTCTCTGTCTAATACTAGCTTATACACTCAACTCTTTCTCTTTCAGGCCAAGCACTTTAATCCAATTAATCTTGAATTCTTCCCTTCGCTGAAGCATTCTCTAGAATTTACTGTGATATTAGGCAAACAGCCTAATGATTCACAGTGGGCCACTGATACAAATCATTCATGGGGTAGTTCCTATCCCTCGCCCCTTCTCAAACTGGTGAAATCCTGCTTCTAAGTTTTTGCCCCTAAATGAAATATTTTTGCCCTAACTAGAGCAGAATCACAAAGAAAGCAAGTCTCTGACAGGTGTAGCTACTGTGCCCCAGCCCCCCAACAGCAGACATCCTACTGGAATCACAGTCCTATTCAGCCCCTCCAAGCAGCACTCCCTACCAACTAGATGTGCCAGTCCGCTCCCCACGTCAGATCCGAGCCCTTCACTAGCACTGTGGCATTGAGCTCCTTGAGTAAGAAACTGTGTGTCGGGCATCATGAGGCAACCTATGGCTTGTGCTTGAAAATCACCTGCTAGACCAATAGCCAACACTTTGGACTTTCAGTCTCCTGCTCCCCAAGCACCCTGGAGTCAGAAGTAGGCACAGCTGGGCTGCCAGTGCCCACCCTGGCCAGGACCCCAGAGCCCAGTCTTCCCCTAGGTGCCCCACTCACAGTACCTTGTCCTTGGCACCATGGTCGCAGCCAGAGCCCACAAGGAAGTCAAGAGCATCCAGCTGCCCGTGTTCAGCAGCCCGGTGGAACGCCGTCCTTCCCAGCTGACCGGGGAGAAGAGAGTGAACATCCATGTACTGCCTGCCTGGCTTCTGTTCCCCAACCTTCTGGGCTTGTGGTGGTCTCTCCTGCTTCAGACACTGTCTCTTCACCTTGCCCCACACACCCTCTCTGGAAAAGCTCAGACCCAGCTTCCCAACCAGAGCCGCTGGGTGGGGTCTTTCCCCCCACTGAAACCCTCTTATAGTCCCACACTGCCTGAGGAATGTAAGACAGATCCCTGAGAATTAGGAATTAGGCTCTCCATGAGAGGCCTCCAACAGCCTCCCTGGCCATCACTCTCAAGATGTCTATCTACCTGAGCTCACAGACAAAGGGCCCTTCTCCCTGTCTAAGGGTCTAGTGGTGTTCTCCTCTCCATTTGGAATGCACCCCCACCCCACCTTTCCAATGTTCCCAGCCAATTCAAATACAGTCCCCAATATCACCTCCTCCAGGAAGCAAAAAGCAGTGGCTCCCTCTCCCACCAGTCCTCATTTAGTCTGTCTGCCTGAGTCCAGCCCTCCAGTCCCCTAATAACACTTTAGCCCAGCAGCCCCTTAAGGCAGAGTTCAGTCTGCATTCCCATAGTTCAAAGAGTCACTCACAGAATGGGCAGGAGTGACCCCAAGAGCAGCCCCAGACCCAGTGGGATGGTCCAATAGCCCTGAGGCATTCTCACCTGGTCGGTGCGGTCCAGGGCCACATCCTCCAGGTCCTCCATTATGAATGCCAGCACCAGCACATGGCCTTTCTGGGCTGCACAATGCAGTATGGTCAGGCCGTCCTGGAAACAAGCCCAGGGTGGTCCCTGCAGTCTGTGAGGGGAGGCCCTTCTCAACTCTGCCAGTCTCCCAAGCAGTGAATGTCTGGTATCCAGTGTTTTGGGACACAGCTGGCCCAATAGAAACTGAAAAATGGGGCTGGGCCCCTGGGATAATGACAGGTGTCCACTCAGTCTCTCAGGTGCTGGTGGAGAACAGGATGCAGGAGTTCAAATTCTATCCCTGGAATTTATCACCTCTGTGGTCTTGGGAAAGTAATCTGTACTGTCTAAATCTCCATTTCCTCATAGGCCAAGTTAGACTACTAATCCCTATTACTCTCCTATTGTTGAGTGACCAAGAGGACTGGATGTCCAAGCCTACAGGAAAGTATCTTATAAACTAAAGTAGGGTCAAATAATGAAAGATGAGATTGTGTGGCATTAATCTCTCCCAGAACATCTCCCACAGAACATTCAGCAACTGCTGAAAATGAGAGCCCAGTGTCTGTGTCTGTCAGCAGAAGGCGGCCTCCTGACCAGAGAGATCTGTAGGGTCTAAGAGAGAAGTAGGCTGGGGAAGAGAGAGAGGCAGAAAGAAGGACTCTGGTTCCAGAAACATTTAACTGAGGAAGCTAGTAAGTCCAGGGATCTCACCTTGACTTTGCTCCCCAGCTAGCCTGTTTGCAGCACTGATTTCCAAGTAGATTGCACTACAAATGAGTCATAAAGATCCAAAAGAATAACTAACGTACATCTTGGCAGTGGTTTTGTTAGGGGGAAAGGATGTCCTGAATGGATTCTGCAGATATCGGTTTCGTGGACTCCACCCCTACTCCAGTCACTGAAACTACAACTCCCAGCAATACCAAAGGGAGGACTGCAAGGACCCAAGGGAGGAGCTAAGCAACCATTTGGGGACTTTTGAGGCTATTAGAGGAGCCATATCAAGCGGAGTCTCACTCTCTCTCCCTTTGCCTTGTGGCTAGTGGCTGCTCACTTGGCTCTTGATCAGTTTTCAGTGTGTTCTTGGGGTTCCAAGTCAGCAGAACTGGTAGGGTGCTCTAGTTAACTTGTATCTCTCTCTCTCTTTCATTCTCTTTCTTTGGGTTGTTTCTTTTCTTTCCCCTTTGTAAATAAACCCATTATTGACCTTTTTGGGTGTATCTACAGTACAATTGAATCTTAAGTGCGTGGGTAAGGATCCACACACAGACAACCCAGTTCACATTGGGTTGCCCTGTCACAGTCTGAGTTATCCCAGAGTAACAGCTGTCAAATCTCAGTAAGTATAAATGTAAAATCTGTGTATTTCACTGTATGTAAAGAAACTCAATTCCAGTCAAACATATGCTGAAGAGGGAGCATATTGATGTCTGTGATTGATTTTGAAATACATCACTATGTTGAAAACACAAATTTATAAAGAGTTCTTAAAAACACATCAATGAGAATTAAATAGCACCATTAAAATATAATTTGAACCCCAAATAAGATATCTAGCTAGATAACAAAAGCTATCTGTCATTGTCAAGATCCACCCTAAAAACCACAAAGTTTCTAACAATAGAGTTTGAAAAGGGAAAAAGGCTTCCAAACCAGTAAACACACCTGGATCACATCACTTTACTCAGGTGATCAGTGTGATATTGTGAGATATTATAGAAAGAGACTATGTTTAGTCTCCATCCCATCCCTGACAGAGTTCTTCTTAGTAAAGGTGTCTTTTGTTTCACTAATAAGATGGCGTGGGCCGCCCCCGGTAAGTCTGGAGGCTGGTTGCTAGGAACCAACTAAGGATAAAAGGCTTAGAGCTTTCAATCCCACCCCTACCCCAACCCCAACATCCAGCTAGGGGAGATAGGGGAGAAAGGCTGGGGTGTGAATCGATCACCAAATGCCAGGATTCCATTAATCGTATCTATGTAATGAAACCTCCTTAAAAAGGAAAGGTTTGAAGAGCTTCCAGGTTGGGAAACAAGAGCACAACTAGCGTACCAGGGCCCAGACTCCATGGAGACAGAAGCTCTGTTGTTCAGGGCCTGGGCCTGTGTATTTCTTTATCTGGTTGATTCATATCCTTTCAAATAACCAATAATGTAGAAGTCAACTGGTTTCATGGGTTCTAAGAACCACTCTAGCAAATGAATCAAACCTAATGGATCAGAAGCAGATGTAACAACCTAGACTTGCAATTGGCATCTGATGGGGTCTGAGTCCTTAACCTATAGGACACAGTATTATCTACTGGTCACCATCCAGGGACCATGGCGTTGGTTGCTTGGTGGTGTGAATAAAACACACACATTGTAACCAGTGTCACAATTGGATCAAGGCAACAGGTGTCACAATTGGTCAACGTAACACTACCAGACAAATCATGTTGCTGTTACGCCCTTTACAAGAGGCAATGAAGAGGCACAGGCCCCCTGGGGTCTTCTTCCCCCAAATTCCATAACCCCAAGCTCAGGATGGGGAAGGAAGTTGTCTAAGGTCCCAGAGTTTGGTAAAAGGGGTGGGTGAGGGGGCAGGGCCTGGCAGGAGGAAGAATAAGGCCACCTCCCTCTCCTTTAATCTTTAACCTACGCTTTGAAGGTGCTACTTTGGCTCCTCTTAGGTTAAAAAAAAAAAAAAGAGGCAGTCCAGAGGGCTGGGATTATCTCACTGTTGCAGAATGATAAAGGATTGAAAGAAGGAGGCTTTCAATGCTGATGGTAGAGGCACCCCCAGACCCTTCTCCCAGCACCAGTGGAAGCAGTGTGGGTACCAGCTACACAAGGCTGAGATCCGCTGGATTTCCAGGAGGGATCTCAGGGGCTAAGGCAAGCTAGACTGGCAGAGGTGCTCAAAGGGTTGGCACAGGCAATAGAGCTGGGGATGGCCTTGTGCTGAAAGGGGACCCAGAAGGATCACCTGTGATGGGGAATGAGGGCGCCCCCTGAGACCTTACCTTGTTCTCACAGTGAACCTTGGCCCCAGAGTTTACCAGGATCTGGAGGATCTGGAGGTGGCCAAACCAGGCAGATAGGAGAAGCGCGTTCATCCCAAACTAGGGGAGAGGCAGAAGGAGGGAGTAGGGGAATATGAGTAGGTGGGTGTGGACCACCCGGGCCCATGTCTGCATGGTAAAATCACACAACCATCAGAAATTGTTGGGGCCACCCAGTCCAGGGAGCTTGGGACTTTAGGAGTTTAAAGGCCAGCACTGTCTTAAAAATAGAAGCCAGTATCAACAAAGTCAAATGTTTATAAAAATTTGAGTCATTAATAAATGAAGAGTGGTTTTTGAGGTTAGGAGGGAAGGAGGAGAGAGAAAGTGTCAAAGGGGTGTAGGAGCTGGTGCTGAAGGGGATAAAAGAAATACAACACGGAGTGTCACAGGGGGTCCCCAGGAAAAGGGACGGTTCCGGGTTCCTTGCCCCACCCAGAAGGAGGTGGAGCTGAGCAGGGAAGAGAAGAATTTGCAGAGGAGACTGAAGAGGAAGGAATGGAGACCCAGAAGGAGACCTGAGGGAGGCACATGGAACAGAGAGAAACGTGAAGAAGTTTTGTCTTGTTTCTTGGTCCTGGACTGGTTGGAACAGAAATGGGTGAGAACCCTGTGGGGAGGTTGACAATGGCAGCGTTTATCTTGATTTTGATGTTGCTCTTTTCCTGCCAGACTTGTCTGGCCATTTCTGACCCTTTTCCATGGTCCCCACCAAAAGGTGTTTTAGACTTATGACAGGCTGTCAGGCCTTGCTTTGAGCCAATCCCTCCTGGGTGGACTTTTTACCTGCAAGGTGATAGGTAACTTTGGGTGTTTGATTTAGAAATTATATTCTTTGTCTTTCCTGGGTTGCACACTAATTGTATTAAAGTTCCCTTCCATCAAAGGTCTTACATGTTTTGTCTTGATGCAGCAGATGGCAGAACCTATTTAGAGCAGGCAGGTTTGGGGGTTCAGAGGTGCCTCTCTCCCTGCCCTGTAACAGAAGCAGGCCTGCTTTGGCAAATGCTCCCAAGCCCAGCTGAGAGCAGAAATTCAGAGTCCACCTCAAGATGAGGCCAAGTGTTTCCCCAACCTGTCGCATCCTCGGCACCTCTAAACCGCCTGGGTACTAGGAAGGGCTGGCTTCTAGTCCTGAATCTGACTCAATTTCACAGTCTGGACCTGGTGGGGGTGCCCATACCCCCATGACTGCATGGAACACCTTGGATTACGCCCACCTCCCCACTGGCTCCTTGAAGAGCTTTTGTGAAGATGGTCAGGGAGGGCGTCTTAGTGTTAGCAGCAGGATTCCTCTGAGGAAGAGAACTACATTTGGTTTAAAGCTGTGAAAGGTGTTTGGGGTGAAAGGGGAAATCCAGAAGGAACTGACCCATCCGCAGGCACCTGAGGCTCCCCAAGAGTGGCAGCTCTGCTTTAGAAATGGCCAAGAATTTGTCAGGGGTGGGGTGGGGGGGTGCAGACAAGGACAGCATTGAAGGGGGGGGCAAAATACAAGCCAAAGCAAGAAAGCCAAAGGACTTTAAAGAACAGAATGCCACAGATACAGTTTTAGAAATTTTGTGTTATTTTCATGCGCTTTCAAAAGCCTGTGTGAATGGGTCCTTTCTGGAAACAGGGGGACGATCCATGTTAGGGGTGAAACCAGGATTAAGGCAAAGGACTGTTTGCACAATGTCAAGAAGACGCTAAAAACTGAGCGGAAACTGCAAGGAAGAGCCACAGGCACCACGGGAACATTTCCTCCTGAAATCCAGTCTGCAGGACTGGGGCTGGCCTGGGCCTGAGCCCCAGCACTGACTCAGGCTCCACCCTCCTAGAATATCAGAAGCTGTGGGCTGGGTGCATGAGGGCGGGAGAATGAGCTCAGGGCAGGGCCCCTGGGGAGAAACCACAAAGCTTGGAGCCTAGGGCTGAAAAGGGTCCAGTTTCAGGGCATGGGGGGGGGGGAGGGGGGACAGAGCCTCTTGCCGGCAGAACCACCCTGGGGCCTATCACTAGAGACCTTCCCTAGCAGCAGGATTGCAGCCCCCAGTGTGTCCCTATCCTCCTGGTGCAGAAGGAGGCATCGTCTTGTTTTCCTGTATCCTTTTTTTTTTATTTTTTGGATGATTCTATTTTTTTTTAATTTTTATTTTGAATGACACTATCCTTTCTTATTTTTCAAAAAATATTTTTTGCTACTTGCAAAGGACACAGAAAATGTAGAACTGTGCCCTCTTGTCATTCTCTCTCATGTTTTCTTTTCTCAGTCCCTCAGGAAGAAAGAACAGAACACAGTGGAGACAGTGAAAGAGATTCCAGTGTTCAAGTGGGAAGCTCCGACTAAGGCTCCAGAAATTCTCCTTCCAGAGTCATCGCTGAATGAGAGCTAAGGAGGTGCAGGGAGGAGGTTCAGGGGTGCAGAGCGGGGAGTAGGTGTTGACGCTTCACTCCTAGTGATGCTTGTCATCAAGTCCCTCATGCTGGGTGTAGCAGGGAAGAACAGGGACAAAGTATTGCCATGGAAGCGAAGACTCTGAAGGTACGTGGATGCGTTTTTTAATTTTTCTTTTTACACAATTTAAATTTAGACTCCTAAATGCAGTCCTCTCAAATGTCACTGTCACTCAGGCCTTTCCTCAAGTGTGTAGAGATCATTTTGCAGATCTTATTCTTCTTACATGCTCTCTCAGCCTCGTGCTGCCTGTTGACTTGTTAAGTAAGACTGTTTGTCTTCATCCCAGCCGTTGTCCAAGTGTTCATCAGGACAGAGCCCTGTGGCCAGCCCATGAGAGACGTGTCCCTGGTGGCCCGTTTTCAGTCCCTCCAGTTACCTGCTCTATAGCCCCTATTTCTCTCTGACCACATGGCCTCACGAGGGATTTTAAGGCTCTGAGAACCAAAGGTCCTTAAAATGGAGTGGTCTCTATGAGTGTGTGGGGAAGGTGGGATCAGGACAGTGTCCCTGGCCCTGGACTGACCATGTGTGTCTGCAACCTCAGATCCTGCAGACGGAGAGAGCCCCCTCCTGAGACAGACAGACATGCACACACAGACACGCCTCCACGGGGTCCCTACCGCATCCTCCTCGTCCACAGCAGCGTTGTGTTCCAGAAGCAGCCGCACAGCCTGCTCGTGCCCGGCACCTGCGGCCCAGTGCAGGGCCACCCTGCCCACCTGCCAGAGGGAGAGGGCACCTGTGAGGGGCCGGCTGGCTATGGCTACCTACCTCCACACTGGAACAGCTGGTGCACAGGTAAAAGGGTCTTTGAGGCCTGAAGCAGGTCTCAGCCCACAGCAGCATTTTGTTCTAGTGGGCATGGCAAGACCCAGAGAGGGAACACAATTGCTCACTCACCCACAGTCTTCTTGACCTGACCACCAGTGCCACCTCTATCTAGGTGTCTGTACCAATCTGCCTGTCTGTCACCTCTAACTCCTGCCCATTGCTCCTCATCCCCCCATTTTTTTTTAAAGATTTATTTATTTATGCATACAGACTGGGGTACAGGCCAGAGGTGCAGGGGCGGCGAGAGACTTCACCAGAGACAGAGTGGGGAGCAGAACAGGCAGATTGATGAAGTACACTGCTGAGGGGAGCAGCGGGCGGGCCAGGAGAGGTCTGCCACACCATGTGGTCTCCTCCGGGGCAGGCGGGAATTGAACTCATGCGGAAGTGGCTTTAGCTTCTCAGTGTTGTGCTTTAACCCACCGCGCCACCAGGGAGGGCCCATCCCCCCATTTTTTAATGGATCCCGGGAGTTAGGATGATCAAGTCTGTAACTGCCCAAGTCTGCCTCAGAATCCCAACCCTAGTCTTGGGCAAGGTCTCAGAGACCTTGCAACAATGTGAACAGCTGAGCACCCCCTAAGTTAGCACATGCAAATCAGGCTCCATGAACTGTCCCTCACATGTGGAGGCATCACAGAGGCACCATAGCTCTCCTGGGGCCCCAACTTGGAGACGCTCGTTTACACACATGGTTTCTGGCCCTGACGTTGACTCTCCTCCAGAGCAACTCCTTCATCCTCCCGACGTTATTCCGGCGGGCGGCTTCATGGAGCTGTCTCTCCAAGGGAAGCACTGAGGGGAGGGGAAAGGATGCAGAGTGAGAAGGGAGGGCTCCCCACATTGTGTAAAGAGAAGAGGTGAACAGCCCCTCCCTGACCCTGAATGTTTCCCACGTAGGACTCTTCCAGCTAGTAAGAGTGGCTGGGGGTTGGGGGACACCTCTCAGCCTTCTTAATTTTGGGGTCCTCCCCTAAAAGACAGCTTTTTCTTCTAACTCACCACAAAACTAGGACTTGGTAAAACCATAAAAATAGAAGAGCATGAGCAAGACCATCCACAGGAGCCAGGTGTGTGTCCCCCGTCCCCTCAGAGGTGCCGGTCATCCAATTCTCAAGGCCCCAGGAGCTGCTCTTGGAGATTTTGCCGGACTTCCCTCCCACTGGAGTCAATAACGACCTTTTCCACGGCTCTGTGTGGGAGGCAGTTCTGTGCGGGAGGCAGCCAGGCTCTGCGGGGCCACCTCCCATGTCAGGCCCAGGTAAACATGTTCACCCAGCTTCAGTGTCTTCATACTCTCACCTCTTCTTTCCTCATGCCCAAATTCTAACCAGCTTTCTCCTCCCAGCTCTGGGCCCACCCTGATTTGCCTTCTCTGTGCTCCCGCTCGATGCTCCTTTCACCCTCATCCTGCTCCTTTATCTCAGGCAGTCTCAGACTAGAGGGAATCTCAGAGCCTCCCCTGCTGGCCTGCCATAGGTGGGTTCAGGGGTTGATAGTCAAGCCAGGAAGAACCTGATTATGAGGCCCAGGGTGGGCTCCTCCCATGCAGCTCCCCTGCCCCCAAGCCGCCATCATCCTAACAGCGCTTGCTATATAAGGATGTCTTGTCTCCTTGGCTGGACCACAAGCTCCCTGGGGGATTTGCCACACACACCCCCACCCCCAGAGGGATCCTTCCTGATTTACCCACAGCTTGCAGCAGGCCCAAACCTGGGCGCAATAACATGTTTCCATGAGTGACACTAACCATCCCCAGAGTAAGGGAAGCCCTTGCCTCCTCCAGTAAGCCTGAGACACACTAGCACAAGGACAAATATTTGCTGACCCTTTGCAAGGTAATGCCCATGGTCACCCAAGGGCAGGTAAGCTTGTGATTTCATTGGTGCCAAAGCCACGTCCTGAATGTTTAGTGAATGTCTGGCCCCAGTTCCTCCTTGCAGCCAGGCCCAGGAGTCCAGTGTCTTGGCTAAGGCAAACTGTAGGCAGTTTGTCTTCAGATAACTCTGGATAGCTTTCTAGTGCTTCCTAGATACAATCCGAGCTCAGAGCTGCTATTCAGCTCTAGTTGAGCTACTTCCTGGCTTTGTGTCTTATGTTACTTAATTACCCTGCGTCTCAATTCTGCATCTGCAAAATGGGGCTATGAGCTGCCCTGCAGGGTCATTGTGGTGACTGGAAGTAAGAGCGAAGAGTCCTTAACATGGTATTTGGAAAAAGGGTCATCACTGCAATCATCATTGTCACTGTCACTCTTATTCCTCCCAGACATTCCTCCACTATTATACTAACGGGTCAGAGAATTAATTCTGAAGATCAAAGAGGTGCTGAGGTTTCCTTCACTCAGGGCCTGTGGATTAAGTGAAGCCCAACCAAAGGCAGCACCCTCCCTACACACCTGTCTGCATTGTTACTCTCCATAATACCCCTCACCAAGGCAGTCTGTACTTGCATATTTACAAGTTGTGTTGTCTGCTTCCCCCATTGTAAGTCCATGAGAGAAGAGACTTTTGCCTGATTTTTTTTTAAGATTTACTTTATTTATGCATACAGGAACTGGGGTACAGGCCAGAGGTGGAGGGTGAGAGGATTCACCAGAGACAGAGTGGGGAGCAGGACATGCAGATTGCCGAATTACACTGCTGAGGGGAGCAGCAGGTGGGTCAGGAGAGATCTACCATGCCATGTGGTCACCTCCCCAGGGCTGGGATTGAACTCATGCTGAAGTGGCTTTTAGCTTCTTAGTGCTGTGCTTTAACCCCATGCGCCACCAGGGAGGGCCCTTTGTCTGACTTTTTAACTGTTCTATCGCCAAATTCAGGCACTAGCACATATTAGTGGAATGAAAGTGACACACAAGTCACTAAATCTCTTTGAACTATAAGATGCTGCCCCAATTAAAACTCATGTGTCCCCTGGAAAATCAAAGTTCAGAGAGGGAGGCAGCTTCAGGACAATACTCAGAGGAAGGAGGAAAACACCACTTTCCAAATATGGTCCCTACTGATAGCTCCATCCTCCCCCAAACCCTAAGAGGTCTGCACTTCTTGTAGTTGAAGAGAGAGCACTTCTCAAGATAAAGTAACAGGATTTTGAAGAGCCCCTCTTGTTTGGGGGAGAGGATGTCCTAAATGAACTCCACAAACTCAGGTTTTATAGACCCCCACCCCACCCCAGGCTGTAGAGACCCAAGGCACCAAGGACTATAATGTCATCACCCAAGGGGGGAGGCTGGGAACTGAGGGTGGAGTTAAGCAGCCAGGCCTGCTCTGTAACCAGACATGTGGGCCTTGGGGGTCTTGGTTTTTCCCTGCTCTTCAGTGTGCTGTTGGGGTCCCAGCTCAGCAGAACTCGTAGGACACATTCACCACTTTGTCTCTCCTGCTTCCTCCCCAGGTTATTCCTCTCTTCATGTCCCCCTTTTCTAAGTAAACCCTTTATTAACCTTCCTGTGTGAGCCT